TGAATGAGGTGGGAAGTTAGGTACAGCTTTGTCCAATATTTGTCCATCAAGGACATCCTACGCAGTGTGTGGAAGCACCTAGTCTCCTGTCAAAGGCACCTGTCTCTCTTCATTATCAGTAAGTATGTTTCCATTTACATTTTCTTGACTGGCAATATAGCTGTAAGAGTTTCCAACCTCTTCATGCTCAAGCGGCCAAGTCGTTCCAGCTCCCACACCTTTGTCCATTGCAACTGACCTAATTGCTAATGCAATTGTTTGTGGAGCCCCTCTGTGAATCTTCTTTACTGATGTATTACAAGTTAAAAAAAAAATAAAAACACAACCTTTTCAAAGTGGAGTTACATTTAAACTCGATCATTTCAATGTCTAGTGTATAGCGTCACAAGTGAAGGAATAGTTAGCATAGGAGTCAGAATAAGCAACTGGAGGTGATCAGTAGGAACCTCTTGATACAGCTTTGCTAATGGAGAAAATCATGTGAAAATAAACACTTGGGCATCTCGGATCAGCCACTTGCCAGAAACCTTTTCTGTTCCGTGTTGTGAATCCTAAAATGGACGTGCATAATCTGAGTTTAGCCTATAAGTCAATAAAACTCAAGTCTTTGTGCTAAACGCTCTTTATTACAGAACAATCCTCATCTTCCTACTTACAATGTAACTTAGATGGAGTACTGTTTCTTCACAATTATAGCCAGCAGACCAACACTGCTGACTGAGTCAGAAAAGAATAAGGTCCATCTTAAACTATGCTGGAGTTTTATTTTTTGAAGCTGTTTCTGTGGTCTTAAAAATGTCTTCTGTAACAGAGTAGATCAAGGATATCTTAAGCTTTGTTGAAACCTCAGTTTCCTTAAGGAAAATAGATCTTTTGTGAGTTAGATACAGAGAAATACACTGAACAATCCTTCATCCATGTGGCCTTTACAGTCCTTGCTACTAGTTTAATAAATTTCTAAATTAAACTGATCTCTATTTTCTTTTACTCCACATCCTATTGACGTGTGTAATGTGGATTGATGTCTTCGACAATAGTGTAGATATTCCATATTTAGTGTCAAATCAGGGTCACTGTTGCATTCAGATGAGTGAAGTTTAAATTATTGCTAACAGCTGTTGTAAGCACATTTATATTTGTATTTCTTCTCATATATCTTCACTACGTTTGCTAACTTATTAATCATTAAACACTTCTTT